CCCAGGAGTTTGAGGTTGCTATGAGCTATGATGCCACAGCACTCTATCCAGGACAACAGAGTGAGACTCTGTCTCAAAAAAAAAAAAAAAAAATGTAGGAAAGTACAAGGGAGACACAGAAAGGCTCTGAAATTAGCTGGGTTTATACTTATGGAGTCAGGATTTCTTTTTTTTCCATATGGCTATCCAACTGAATTGAACAGACTGTCTTTTCTGTACTGCCCTGCAGTGATACCTCTGTCATAACTAGGTCACCATATAAATACATGTGATGCAGGCTTGGCACCTGTGGCTCAAACATCTAAGGCACCAGCCACATACACTTGAGCTGGTGGGTTTGAATCCAGCCTGGGCCTGCCAAACAACAATGATGGCTGCAACCAAAAAATAGCTGGGTGTTGTGGTGGGTGCTTGTAGTCCCAGCTACTTGGGAGGCGGAGGCAGGAGAATCGCTTGAACCCATGAGTTTGAGGTTGCTGTGAGCTGTGATGCCACAGCACTCTACCCAGGGCAACAGCTTGAGGCTCTGTCTCAAAAAAAAAAAAAAATACATGTGATGCTGTTTCTGAATACTGTACTCTATAAAAGTCCTTTGGTCTATTTGTCTAACCTGATGGCATGACAGCAATACTATGTTGCCATCTTATTATATAGTGTTTGTTTGTTTGAGACAGGGTCTCACCAGGTTGGAATGCAGTGGACTGAAAACAGCTCACATAGCATTGAACTCCTGGGCTCAAGCAACCCTCCCACCTCAGCTTCCCAAGTAGCTGGGACTACAGGTGCACATCACCATGCCGAGTTTTTTTGTTTTTTTGGTTTTTTTATTAAATCCTAACTCTGTACAGTGATGCATTTGTGGGGTTCAGTGTACTGATTTGATATACAATGTGAAATGCTTACATTGAACTGATTAACACATCCATCAGAACTATAGTCTTTTCTTTTTTGTTTGTTTGTTTTTTAGATGGAGCCTCAAGCTATCCCCCTGGGTAGAGTGCCATGGCCATCACAGCTCACAGCAACCTCCAACTCCTGGGCTCAAGCAAGTCTCCTGCCTCAGCCTCCCAAGTAGCTGGGACTACAGGCGCCCGTCACAACGCCCGGCCATTTTTTGGTTGCAGCCGTCATTGTTGTTTGGCAGGTCCGGGCTGGATTCAAACCTGCCACCTTAGGTGTATGTGGCTGGCGCCTTAGCCACTTGAGCCACAGGCGCCGAGCCTGTTTGTTTGTTTTTTAGAGACAGTCTCACTTTATTGCCCTTGGTAGAGTGCTATGGCATCATAGCTCACAGCAACCTCCAACTCCTGGGCTTAGGTGATTCTCTTGCCTCAGCCTCCCAAGTAGCAGGGACTACAGGCACCCACCACAATGCCCAGCTATTTTTTTGTTACAGTTTGGCCAGGGCCAGGTTTGAACCCGCCACCCTCAGTATATGGGGCTGGCGCCCTACTCACGGAGCCACAGGCACCGCCCATAGTCCTTTCTTAATAGTTTTGAAATGTACCATTGCATCATTAGGTGAGGTCCCCCCAAATGCCCTCCCTCCTCCCACCTCCCTATCTTTCTCTCCTCTTCCCCTCTACTTTCTGGACTATAGTTATGTTTTACCATTTGTATAAATGTGTAGGTGATTATATATTGATTTCATAGTAGTATTGAGTATACTGGATAGTTTTTTTCCCATTCTTGAGATACTTTACTAAGAAAAATATGTTCCAGCTACATCCAGGTAAACATAAAAGATGTGAAGTCTCCATCTTTTATGGTTGCATAGTATTCCATGGTGTACACATACCATAATTTATTAATCCATTCACGGGTTGATGAGCACTTAGGCTGTTTCCATGACTTGGCAATTATGAATTGGGCTGCAATAAACATTCTGATGCAAATGTCTTTGTTGTAAAATGATTTTTTGATCATCTGGGTAGATACCTAGTAGAGGAATTGCAGGATGGAACAGTAGGTCTACTTTTAGTTCCTTAAGTGTTCTCCAAACTTCCTTCCAAAAAGGCTTAGCTTGCATTCCCACCAGCAGTGTAGAAGCGTTCTCTTTTCTCCACATCCACACCAACATCTGTAGTTTTGGGATTTTGTGATGTGGGCTAATCTTACTGGAGTTAGATGATATCTCAAAGTGATTTTAATTTGTCTTTCTCTGATAATTAAAGATGATGAGCATTTTTTCATGTGTCTGTAGGCCATATGCCTGTCTTCATCAGAGAAGTTTCTGTTCAAGTCTTTTGCCCACATAGAAATGGGGTTATTTGTTCTTTTCTTATTCATTAGATTGAGCTCTCTGTGGATTCTAATTTTCAGACCTATGTCGGAAGCACAAACTGCAAAAATCTTCTCTCATTCTGAAGGTTGTCTGTTTGCTTTACTTACTGTGCTGTTGGCTGTGCAAAAGCTTTTTAGTTTGGTCAGATCCCAGTAATGGATTTTTGGTGCTGCTTCGATTGCCCCGGAGGTCCTCCTCATAAAATATTCTCCTAGGCTGATTTGTTCAAGTGTTTTCCCTGCACTCTCTTCTAGTATTTTTATAGTTTCATGTCTTAAGTTTAAATCTTTTATCCAGTGAGAATCAGTTTTGTTTTGTTTTGTTTTTTTGAGACAGAGTCTCAAGCTGTCGTCCAGGTAGAGTGCCATGGTGTCACAGCTCACAGAAACCTCTAACTCTTGGGCTTAAGCAATTCTCTTGCCTCAGCCTCCCAAATAGCTGGGACTATAGGCACCCGCTACAACGCCTAGCTAGAGAATCAATTTTTGTTAATGGTGAAAGGTGGGGGTCCAGTTTCAGTCTTCTACAGGTTGCTAGCCAGTTAACCCAGCAGTATTTGTTAAATAGGGGGTCTTTCCCCCACTGAATGTTTTTAATAAGCTTATGAAAGATCAAATGACAATAAGTAGCTAGGTTCATCTCTTGGATCTCTATTCTGTTGTATAAATCTACCCCTCTGGGGTTTTTTTGTTTTTTTGTTTTTTTTTATTGAGACAAAGTCTCACTTTGTGGCTCTCGGTAGAGTGCCATGGTGTCATAGCTCATAGCAACGTCCAACTCTTGGGCTGAAACAATTCTCTTGCCTCAGCTTCCCAACTAGCTGGGACACAGGCGCCTGCCACAACACCTGGCTTTTTTTTGTAGAGGTGGGGTCTCACTCTACATCTGAGGGAGGTCTGGCTGAGGCCGTTCTTGAATCTCTGAGCTCAAGGGCAATCCACCTGTCTCAGCCTCCCAGAGTGCTAGGATTACAGGCGTGAGCCAGCGCACCTCTCTGTTTTTGTGCCAGTACCATACTATTTTGATCATTATAGATTTAGAGCATAGCCTGAAGTCTGGTAATGTGATATCTCCTGATTTTTTTTTTATTTCTGAATAATGTATTCATGCCCAGCTATTTTTTTTTTTTTTTGAGACAGAGTCTCAAGCTGTCCTCCTGGGTAGAGTGCCATGGCATCACAGCTCACAGCA